GGGGGGGGGGTGCACGCCCCTTCATGCATCATACTGCTGATCTTGACTCACATGCTGAACTTCCACAAGCCCCGATATCGTCCTGCTCCCCTCCCATACAATCGCAGTCGGTCATTATTGCCCAAAGAGATGAGCTCTATCCTGTCATTGCTCTTCTATGGTTTTGTTGGACTCGGGTCCATAACACCTGAGTCAAGTTAGTGTTTGCATCTGGTGGCATGTGACGGGAATTAAGGTCACGTCTCGTCACCTTTGGCCTGAGCCCACTGGCTTTTGTGCTGGTTAGTTGAATCTCTGTACTTTCTGGGGGGGGGGGAGGCAGGCCTTGTGCAGGAGTGTCTTCCTGTTGGACTGGATCTGCTTCCTGAGTTCCAGAACATCTTTGGAGATCCGGCATCGTGCCCTTGGGTCTGAGTTCCTTTCAGATCGATGCGGAATCTCGATCTTCCTCGCAACCCTGGATCTCCTGTCCCTTGAAACCGGTGCTGCTGTGCGTGTGTGAATTTTAGGGATGATCTTCTGATTGTTTGGTGTCGGTCTTCTCTGCTCCCCCCACAGTGGAGCAGGTCCCCACAGAGCCCTACCTAATCCCGCTGTCCCAGGCCGAGGTCCTCCAGGAAGGAAGTGACGTCACGTTGGTGGCTTGGGGAACGCAGGTGGGTGACGATCAGACTGAGGAGGTGCCAATGGCCTTAGCAGGTCGCATTTGGGGACTTTGGGTGGGTGCCGATATTCTGATTGCATCAGTGGTCTTGGGGGGTGCTTTCCTGGTGGATAAAAGTTTTCAAACTGGAGGGGGGTGGTGTGGGGTGTGGCGATGGGAACCCACCCCCCTCCAGTAACTGCACCGCACCCCAGAGTTATACCGGTGTCTTGGAACACCTGGCATTGTCGTTCAAAGCTGTGGTTTCCTTGGGAACTGGGTCCAAGCAGCAAGCTGACACTGTGCCTGTGCCTGTGCCTCTACTGTCACCCCTTCCACCCTCCTAGGGTGTGTGATCCCCCCCGGCAGGGAAATCCCAAGGCCGCAGGAGGGGCACGTGCAGCCTATCCTCTCCACCTCCACGTCCTCCAGCTCTGATCTGGGTACAGACATTTGTGCTCAGCTCTGTCTGGCCGGGCCAAGCGTAGCAGAAAATACACTATTTGTTCCGGCACATTCTAAAGCGTAAATCAGTCTTGCCGCTTCCTTTCCTCCCCCGTGTCGGCCTCCTCAGTCCTGCCCCGGAGTGTCATGCGAGCCTCAACCTCCGTCTCCTTCAACTCATCACCCCTGCTTTGCTGACACTTTGCCAGCGCGGCTCAAACTCTTTAGTTTTTCCTAATTTCCTCGTTCATTTTAGGAGCACAGTGATGCTTCTCAGCGCCAGGCAATCTGTGTGTCGCTCCGCCTCGATGCCGGATTGCCGTACAAACCGTCTGGGATGACGCCCATAGTTTAATTTGGGGAAGGGCCGAGACTTCGAGTCACATGTTTCAACCACGCAGGTGGTGTGGGCCGCGTTGATCAGATATGCAAACGTGAGCTTCAGAGAACTTAAGTTTTAAGTTTCCTTCTCACATTGTCTTCGAAGTTCAGCAGGAGATGGATCTTCGCTCGCTACAGAAAATTGATGCGGCATGAATTTCAGGACAAGTCGGCTGCCAGGTTTTTGGGGGGAGGGGAGTGTAAGACCTGAACCTTAGTGGCCATTTTATCACCCCGTTGGGGTGTGAGGGGGGGGCAATAAAATGCAATAATCACAACAGGCTCGGCTGCTGGTTAAACTACCAGCCAAACTGCAGTAAAATCGCAGGGTGGTCCTGTGTGAACACGGGCTGTACAGAGATGCTCATGCAAACACACATGCTCTCTCTCTCACACACACACACACACACACACACACACACACACGGCTCCTGGAAAGGACACAAGCTCTGGGATGTTTGAAGTCATAAGGACCTAATTTACCACGCTTGTTGAGGTGAAGGCTGTGTTAGAAGAAGTTCATTTGAATCATTTTTCTGATGTTTCCTCCGGTCTGTAAGCACCAATGACACGCAGTGGAAAAGAAGTGTTTTATAAAAGCCTTGTTAGACTAATACTGCAACACAAATGTGGCTAATCAAAACCAATGCGTGAGACTGTTTGGGTTTGGGCAGACGGCACGCACGATGCAGAGAATGCCACACGAGCACCCAGCGCTGTTGATGCGAAGCCGATTTTGAACTTTGACCTCTCACAGGTTCATGTGATGAAGGAGGTGGCGGCCATGGCTCAGGAGAAACTGGGCGTGTCCTGTGAGGTCATCGACTTGCAAACGATCCTGCCTTGGGACACGGAGACGGTGTGCAAGGTAGGAGTCCAGTAGGCTGGATGTATTCTGTCACATTTTGGGAGAGGTGCTGTCCGTCCATCGCTCTTTGTCACTCAGGTGGAAGGTGCCGTCTAGCCGGCATTAGTGGCACTATATGAAAACAGATGGTGCTTCCCTGACTCTGCCCTAAGGGTTCAGATCTCCCTCCTGCACGTTCTTTGCACGTGACCGGGTCCTCTGCATGTCTCGCTAACACTCCTGCGGTCACACCGCCACCAGCGGCGCCGCGTTACTCTGTTTTGACGGCACAGGCTTCTCGGCGACCCGGTACGGCGAGGAAGGGGGAGTCGTGAGCGTCTGAGCTGCCCTTAATAGCTGCTGCCGCTTCTGGTAATTTGTTTACTTATCTCAGCTCCGCGTCGGTTAGTCGTGCGATTTTTGAGGTCTGCCTGGGGGCGTCGGTCTAAAAAAGCAGACGGGATCTGTGGTCACAGGGGGCGCAGAGCCAGACTGGAACAGGAAGCGGCGACTTGGGGAGCCGGTTCTGTGTAGTTTGTTCCGACGCAGCTCGTCCCCCGGAACGCAGTGATCTCATGGCATGCCGCCGTTTAACTGGCTCCACATAACGGCGTACTGTGTTTATGTGGCTCACCAAGGCCTCCCGGGCAGGCGTGCCTCCTCCCTCTCGCTCTCCCTCCTCCTTACGAGGGGCCTCTGCTCCTCTCTACGTCACCCCCCCCCCTCACACCTTTAAGGCCATGACGGGCACTTCAATGCAGGTTCTTTTTCTGCTCCCGGACGAGATTCTTCTCGAGCCGATATTATCCGGTAATTCGAGGACGTACGACTTCGAGAGGGCTGGACTGCAGCGTATATTAAAGCTCGAAGCGGCAGACCACATGCGCTCCCAGCGGACAGCAGCAGGAGTTAAGGATTTCCAGCATCCTCTCCGGGCCTCGGAGTTTGTCTGAAGGTGCACAGGCCCGTGCACTGCACAACAGTATTGGGCCTCACTGCAGGGGGATCGGGGACGTCGGCATCTCCTCCTCTTCCTTCTCCTCATCCTCCTCAGAGATCCTGGTGGTCATTTTGCTCACAGGGATCCTGTGTCCGCCTCTCTGGGGAGAAAGTCTCTTTGCACTGCGATTGCAGTGACGTGTTAGTATGTATGTACATAGGTAAAGAAGAAAGACTGCAGCAGTGTAACGTTGTAGTGGGTAAAAATATAATAATAACAATAAATAAATAAGTGAAAGTGACCAGTGCTAGTGTGTGTGACCTCAGTAATGGTGGGGGGGGGGGAGGTTTGGCCTGTTCCTGTGGGACTGGGCCGGAGGTCACAGCTTTGCCGACCCGCTGACACAGAGGATTCTGGGAATTTGTGCCATTCCACAGTGCTCAAAGTGATAGGACATGGATTCCCGCCCATGTGTGAACTCAGACATGTGAGATCTTTTTGTGTCTGCTGCTAGCCCCCCACCCCTGAAAGACTGGGGCCTGGGGTGGGGGGGGCGCATGAGTTTGGACTGCTGTCACCATTAGGTTACAGATGACTTTTGTGTGTACTCAGTGAATCCAAGGGTTGTAGAGAGCCTGGGAAGATTGGGTCACATGGAGAATACTGCTCTTTGAATTCAGACCCACCTTGGGAGAACAGAGAACACCTCTGGGGGGGGGGGGGGGGGGTTAGACATCAGCTGAAGTTCTAACAGTACCGTCGCCTTCCACTAGAGGGAGGTCTGGGCAGAATCACAGCGACACGTTTGGAGAACATTGTTCTGAACCTCATCAAGGTTTTAATGCTGGCAGATTTCATGAGCTCTGGAATTGTGTCACGATGACTGCTTTGCCGAATGCCGCCAGACGTCCCCTAGGACAGCCAAAAGACGCTGGATGCCCCATAATTCGTGCCGTTTATCAGTGTGCATCCAGGGCCAGGAGGTCCTGACAGGTCCAGCTGTGGTTCTGGAGCAGCTGGACCGCACCAGTGCCTCTCCTTCCAGGAAACTGGAGCATCAGGCTGCAGTGGAGAACGAGCCCCATTTTAGTCCTCGGAAGCCGCAGCTGGTGGCACGCAGACGAGACGCCTGCCCCGGTGTCGGGCAGGCCGCGGTGAGGCCCCCGGTGGCCGTCACACAAACTGCATCTAAATTTATACGCCCTGTTGTTGACATAGGAAAGTAACCGGAATCACTGAGAGAGAGGAACCGGTACTTTCTGCTGTCTGGCTCGGCCCGGTGCTCTCCGGTGAGCATAATAGACGTTCATTTAGAGGAGCGAGTAAATGGGCAGGTTCGGGTGCCAGGCCTGCGGTCTGTCTGCGCGGCGTGGAAGCGGGCCGTCTACGAAGTGGGCCGTCTGCGCGGCGTGGACGTGACCCACCTGCTCGGCGGCCCGTCTGCAGGGCGGCCCATCTGTGCCGCGTGTATCTGGCCCATCTGTGCGGCGTGGAGGTAAACACCTCGTCCCAGAAGTGATGCCCCGGTGATAAGTGCAGACGTGGGGCTCTCAGATCCCGGGGGGGTGGCGTGTGGCTCAGCGGCTTAGGACACTGTGTCCGTGATCAGAAGTTCGCCAGTTCAAATCCTAGAATCAGACCCCCCCCCCAAATCACTCGTGGGTGCATCATCTGACCCTGCTTTGTAAATGTTTTGGATAAAAGCATCTAGTAAATAAATAAAAGGTGATGTAAGTCACCCTGTCTTAAAGCTGGGATGATGTGTGATATACACTGAAAGAATGTGACCGCCTTCATGGGAAGTGAATAATGTTGACTGTCTCATAAAAGCGATGCCTGTCAAGGTCTGGGATGTATTAAACGGTACGATAGCAGTCAGTGCTCGTAGTCGACATGTTGAATGCAGAAGAAATGCGCAGAGTGCCTTTAACAAGGGCCAAATCATTATGGATTGACCACTAGGTCACAACATGGACAACAGATTCCTCTCCAGAGCTGCCGCTGCTTAAAGCACATCCCATAATAGTGTCTGACTGCCGCTGGTATACAGGCAGCTCAACCCGCATCTGCGTTCTCGTCAAGTTGAAAAGTTCAGCGAGCAGAGACCTGGATTAAGCAGGATCACGCCCAGGGTCATGCTGGAGTCAACACTGTGACCTCTGACCCTTTGATGGTGCCCATCAGCCTTGCTGCTCCTATGCATTTCAAGCCCAGATGCTGCCGGACCAGCCACTTGATGGGCTGGAGTACAGTGTGCTGTCAGTCAGTGCCCAGTTTGACCCAACGAAAGTAGTTAAATTGACCAGCAGGAAGCTGATTAATCCCATGGGTCAGCAGCTGCTGTAGGACCAGCCCAACAGTCTTCCTGAGCTTTGGTCCAGCTCCTCACCTTGGGGCTGTGTGCTAGTGACCCGGTTCACCACAGCTTTCATTAGCGGTATCTCCATGTGGTGCTCAGTTATTGTTTACACCGGGCCCTAGCCAAAGCGAGAGCCTGAAGTTTCTGAAAATCGTTGTTTATGTTGATCAGATGTTTTAAAAAGTATTCAAATGAAACTGGGTTGGAGTCCCTACCTGTTACGTGGTTTTGTGTTTGACTTGTGCCTGAGAGGAAGGTCTGGCTCAGTCCACGCGATCCCGTTTGAAACGTCTACACGCACACATGGAAAAACGCGTGGAGAACATGCTCCAGGAACACGCAGAGGACACGCCTGTGTTTATGCTGTCTTCAAACACAGCTGGCTTCACAGACTGAGCTGGTTAGAGGATCTGAGCAGCTCTAATGGGACGCAGGATTGACCCCATTGTGCAGTCAGTGTCGTAAGAGGAGCACAGCTGCACTTTCCTATCAAGGAGGAGGTTCCTGGGAGTTCAGCAACCACTCCTGGCACTCGTTAACTAATCAAGGTGTCCTCGTTGAACTGCTGTCCGGGTGAGGTGACAGAATGAGGGTGAGGGACGGGAATGTTTAGTGCCATCGCTGTTGGTCAGTTTTCACCCTGATCGCATGAGGATTGGCGGGTTGTTGGCCGTTTTTGCTTTTGTCACACATCATCTGCTCAGGATAAAGGAAGCTTAGTAGATATCTAGCCACCTTGGACTCAGTGTGCATTACTCACAAAGTCCTGGGACAGTTGGGTTGCAGCTTCTGGGCTGGTTTTCAAAGCGAGGTCCCACCAGTACCTCAAGATGAATTTTGTCAGCAGAGAGGAGAATCTGCCCAATCGCCTGCTTGTCTTGTCTATTCTTGGATGCTCTTGGTGATCCTGGAAATATGTTCTTCGCCTGACAACTTTGTCTAAAGCTAATGGGTCATTGTCATGATGGATATTTGTAGCTTTCTGGACCATCCTGTGCTACACGCAGGCCTAGAAATGCACTTCAGAGATTTCTAGGTCATTCTGGGGCTGTGTTGGGCGATCATGGCAGCCTTGTTGACCCTCTCCCCTCCCTGCCCCAGTTTGGCCAGCAAGCAGATGTCCTCTTCCAGCAGGAAGGGGAAGGTGCATGACTCAGGGTCTCCATCAGCTTCATGCATGGAACGGTCTGGAAAGCTGTGGGTGATCCTGCTGGACCCTCCGGTGCTGGACGTCGCCTGGGTCCGTGGCTCGAACCTCACACTACCAGCTCCCTAACAAGCAACAGGCTTCCACTGTGAGTCCGACTTGTTGCCAGAACCGGACCTCCGCCTGCATCCGCTCAATTCGGCTGGGACCAGAAGAGTTTGCCTCATTGGTGCTGGAAGCCCGGGAAGCAGTTGGGTTTGAGGAGGAGGAGGAGGAGAAGGAGAAGGAGGGAGCGGCAGTAACCCTTTATGTTTATTATCGAAACACCGGGTTTGTATTGATTATGTTAGCATGGCTCATATGGTTCTGATGTGTGCTGTTATGCTCATTACAACAAATGGTACCGTTTGCATTATATGTCTGTGGAAAACGACGAGCGACGGCTGTATCGACTTTTGGAGGGAGCTGCAGGGATTATTAGGCTGCACTGGGATGTTGATAGGGCTGTAATTTCGATCCAGACACAAGGTGGCGTGTTAGTTAAAGCAGCTTTCGCCAAGCAGGATTTGGGGCCA